TGCTGCAGCACAAAACATGACTTGCTTATCAATCCTAATGGAGGCACAAATAGTCAAAGAATGTAGAGACTTTCCCCACTCTGCAGGCAGCACTGTGCACAGGCATGCTTAGATGGGCTTTGGGGCATCATTCCTATGTTTTACATCAATCACCTCAATGCAAATAGGTTTGTTTGCAGACCCTCCACTACATTAAACTTCATTTTACCTCTGCTACAAGGACAGATTGTTCAGCATCTGCCTTTGCTTCTAAGGCACTATTAATAATATGAGAGTACATCTCAGTGACAGTCACCAGCATTAAGTCTGCACTGAAATGCCATTCATTTAAATATACAGATAAATCTTACACACATTTTTTTGTTCAGGGCACACAGAACTTGAAAACAAATAGCCTCTAACTATGCTATTCATTCTGTGAGTGTAAGGCTACTGCTGGTTTTAATCCTGCTGCAAAAAGTTATCAACAGATATTGATCCCTTTCCTACCCTGGCCAAGTATCATGGCCAGGCATTCATGCACCCATTCATTGCGCCAAGCCAATTCAGGCACCCATGCAAGCTGGAGCCCCAACAGGACAACAAGCAGCAGCCAACAGCTGGGACAGGCCTGGTGAGCGTGGAGTGGCCCCATGAGCACACAGCTTGTGGCATGACCTCCCTAGAGCTCCTGCAAGAGAGGTCCTCACACTGAGCAATCCCATTGACACAGATTTCTTCAGGACAACTTCCCCAGCTTGGCAACTCACAGACAGGCTTTTCACAGATTTATATATTTATCTAATTGTTCTTTCATCGGTTCTCTAAGGAAACTAAGAGTTTACCCACAGCAATTCCTACCTAGACTAAAAAAATAGAAGACTTTTTGCCCATTAGGCCCCATCATAAGCTCAGTCTTTCACCACAGTCACTGTTGCTGACTGAAAAGCCAAGCCCCAGGAGCAGAGGTTCCACCCTCCCCAAAAAGCCCTCTCAGATGAAGCACTTGGAAGCAGCACAGGTGCTGTGTTCACAGTGCCTCTCCAAAGGCAGTCTGAGAAATGGGAGCAGCTTAGAAAAAGTGATGCAATAAGCAGAATTTGATACTGCAAACACTGTGTTGCCTAATCCCTGGTCTACAGATCTGTCCTGTTAGGCTTTTTAGGTCACATGTATTTGCTTCCCTTGGTGTTATTTCTGAATTTTACCTGAAAAGGAGCTCAGTTACAGGAATTGCATTTTACTGTACCATATGCCAGTATATTTCTATTCAAATTGTATTTGAGATAACCTGAGTGGATTTCTAGAAAGAAAAGCATAAGCCTTGCTTTGCAGTAACATTTCTCCAGAACTGAAGAGGCATGCTTGAAATAACTGCCTTTGAAAAGGCCAGCAAAAGTGTGACTTCCAGTGCAGCTGAAACAAATAATATTTGCTTAGTAGAACGTGAGTCCAGGATTTTGGCACAATGACCTTCTTTTCCTCAAACGATTGTCTGGGTTTGTTTTTTTTTTAATTTAAATTGAGATGTGATTTTCCAACCAGTGAGCACCACTGAACACAGCTGATCAGACTACCCAAAACAGGATTTTTGCTTGAAAGACTCATTTATGCTCCCATATTTTCACGTTGTTTCAGAAGTTCCGAAAACTCCTGAAGATAATATTTCTTAACTCTGAACAGCTGTTTGCTAATGCCAGGAAGTTGATTTTCTTCTTGCTGCTGACTCTAACAGAAGCATTGAGGCATCATGAGTTTTTCAAGGCTGAAGTATCCAGTTGCCTTTTGTTTGCTCATGCAGGTGTTTTACGTAATTGCCCCAATAAGGCTGACGCTCACGGAAAGCAGCTGCAGCACCGGCAGCGTTGTCGGTGTTCACCACTTTCACCACTCACAGCTTAGCTGGCCTCTAAGAGCACAGCAAAACAAGTCCTGTGCTCCTAGTCAGGCTAATTGAAGTGTTCAAATTATATTTTGGCTTTGCATTGTTAATAACACCTGATAAGCAACACCCCAAAACTCAAAATGAATCAAGTATTCTAAAATATAAAGAGACACACTAAAATGGGGGGAGCCACCAAAGCTGTTTTCCATCTAGTGTTACAGTCATGTCTAGTCTAGTCTAATGTACCTGAATAGATACTTAATTCAAAGTTCTTATATTAAAGAAGAAAATTATCAAGAAAAACCTGAATCTAAATTATTTACTGGAGAAATGTAGGCAAAGCCCCTCTATCCTTCCCAGGCTTAAACTCTGCCTTTGAACTGGATCTGCAAGTCTTCTACTGCTTTGCTTTGTCCCCCTCTAACTTGCAGGCCTATCATCAAACTTCCATAAGGAGGCTTTCTCAGAAATATATCATTTTTTAAAGAGTCTTAAAAAACAGCTGTTTCCTTTCAACCAACCAAAAAGGTGCCCTTCACCTGTTTAAATACTTGAACAGATGAGCCCAGCTGGAAACCTATCTTCCTGTGACAGGAAGGAACAACTTTCTTAAGGACTTAACTCCTTCTCTGCCTAATAAAAGATAAGAGTTCAGAAGCACATTTCTTTTATGGCAGGAACTGCAGTATGCCCACTGGGCTGCACAAGAGAAGGCTCGGGGAGATCTCATTGATATGTGTGAATATCTGCTGGGAGGGAGTGGAGAGCATGGAGCCACGCTTTACTCAGCAGTATCCAGTGACAGGACAAGAGGTCATGAGGACAAATTTAAGTACAGGAAATTTCACTTACGCAGGAAAAAAACCCCTTTTCTGCTGGAAGGGTGGTAAAACACTGGAGTGTTTTCCCAGCAGATCTGGGACTCTCCATCCTTGGAGACACTTTAAGCCCAATACAGGACATGGTCCTGGGCAACCTGCTGGAGCTGACTGTGCTTCCAGCAGCAATCAGGTGATACAATCCCCAAGGGCCCTGCCCCACCTCAAACCCACCATCATTGTGTCCCTGCAGGACAGCGCTGGCATGGCACAGGGCACAGGGACACCCAGCACAGAGTGCCTGTACATGCTCCTCTGAGGCCTGAAACTGCTCTCTATTATCTCAGACAATGTCCATGTGAGTATACCTGTGAAGAGACCCTAAACCCCAGGAGCTAAAAATGTGATGGTGGATGAGTGACAAGCCTGAGAGGAAGCCTCTGCCATTCTGCCATCCTCAGGAGACCCCATGCAATAACTAATTAATTTAGCCTTTTTTTTTTTTGCAACATTATTGATTCTTCCTTGAAGTCACATTTTTAAAATTTCACTTCTCCCCACTTCCTGTAAGTTTTCCCTTATGGTCAATTTGCCCAGATTCAAGGACAAAAGTGACAGTGCATCACCTCCATCTGAGCAGTGTGTCAGTACATTTAATTCCTTCCCTTAGCACAAAGGGATTATTATTCCATTTTATTCCAGTTGGCTTCTGGGAATACACCCAGCCATTCACCTGTGTGAGTTGTCCTTTGTACAAGGATTCTGTTTTTGGAAGCATCTCACGTGAGTTGGATCAAGGATTAGCAGCAGGCATTTCTGAGCACTTGTGGTCACAGCTAACATCCTTTGGGCTTCTTCTGCTATCAGAAGGAATTATCTGCTGTCCTTCCTGGACTATTTCTGTCTGAAACTGAGTCAAGTTATTCACTAGCCAAGGAATCCCACAGTCTCCCTGTGAGCAGTCCCATGATTTGCAGACAACTAGACTCTTGCCAAAATAGGCCAGAGGGAGATCCTGCTAAAATTTCTGTGAAATTGCCTTTAAGGTGTGTATTTGGGCACTAGCAAGGCCGTGTTTCTACAGCCTCAAGGGGAATACAAAAGTAAACCTTTGTTTTCTCTGGCCCTTGCCTGCATGGGTTGATCTCCATTAAGGTTTATCCACCTTCATGTAATGAAGCTTGCAACTTATTCAAGGGAGGCAGCAACACACCTGGACTTTCAAGACATTTTTACCTTCTCCTACTAATTTATCCATTTACCCAACCCCAAGTAAACCTCATTTAAAAAAAAAATAAACAAAAAGAAAGAAAAAAAGAAGGGAAGATGGTCTCAAGCATGCTGGAGTTCTGCACCTTTGTGTTTCCTGTTTCCCCTGGCACTGAAGCAAGTTCTTCAGCCACTCACCACGCGGTGACAGGACAGATTGATTACACTAATTGTATGACAATGACTTGAGCAAGGTATGCATGAAGTCATTAGCTGAAGCAGGAATTCAATGCTGAGATCCCAAACTGTCCTTTGTCCTTGCTGCACTGATATCTTATCTGCTTCAGCTCCAGAAAGGATTCAATAGCTGAATTGCTGAGGGCTGTAGCTCTCAGGAACATTCCTGATCTAAACGAAATTACCTGGCAACTTGATTCTGTGGGCTGTGAAACCGGCCATGGAAAGGGAAGGTAAAAGAGGATGCTGACCGTGCTGCAACCTCACCAGGCTGTTCAAGTGTTGATACTGTAGGGCTGTGTAAAGAGAGCCCTGCCTCCAGTGGCTTTTAGCTGCTGCTCAGGAGCTGATCTTTTTATCCTCAACACAAACTTACACCAGCTTTGGGAAACCAAATCCACATGTTGTAAAAGGTGTAAAATCCACCTCATTCTCCCTCCAAACGCAAGGCTCATTAAAACATTCGTTTGTGCAAATGTGAGTGCTGTCAGAATGGTCCATTTAGCTGATGTTGTACCAAGGAGCTGCAATAGAGCTCAGGGTGTACTGTGTGCACAGACTGTTACCCACTCAGGGACCAGGGAGAGGGAAAAACACTTCCACCTGAAATTTATGGCCTGAAAGCCATAAACAGCAGCCTTGACTTGGCAACAGCCTAATCCTTTATCCTAAAGGCAAACCAGCCTTTCTCCCCCCTCCTGTCAATATCTCAGTTTGAAGTGTTAAGCAGCAAAACAAGGCACAAGAGCATGACACCAAGCAAGGCAGTGCTTTTAATTATTCCTAAAAAAAACCCAACAACATAAAAGTCAACCTAAAACTTTATTCAGTAGAAAACTTTCAGAAGACAGTTTGTTTGAATATTTGAATCACTACACTGCCAACATACTCATTAAGGACAACTCCCGTTCTCCTAAGGTATAATCCCTTTTCATACTGCACCCTTTATTTGTTGCTTTCATCCTGACAGAGAGGCTGTACAGCTCTTCTTCTGCAATGCCATCAAAAAAGAAGTCCTCATTGAAGATGGGATTCTTGCTTCTCTTTATAACTGTGCTTCTCTGCTTCTGTGTTTTCCCTGGCACCAGGGAGAAGGAGATACAGCAGTTGATGCTTTTGGGCTCTACAGAATCATCGTACAAGCCCTCTGCACTGATCAGGCGGATCCGCAGCCTCTCGTTCTCTGAGCAGTATTCAGCTGACAGCCTCAACACGCCCCCCTTGTCCATGACCACTGCACTCTCCCCCACCAGCCTCTCCCGACTGCAGCTCAGGTCCACTGGAAACAAGGGAGAGCAGGAGGGGCTAAACCTCCGGACGCCGAGCAGCCCCTCGGAGGCCCTCCTGATGGCACTGGGGCTGTTATCAGTGGAGCTGCTCTCCTCTGTAGAGAGGGAATTGTTCCTGGGCATACTGTGTTTGCTCTTGTCTTTCAGTGCTCTGCAGAGCAACCCCTCCTGACTTTGTGCTTTGATCAGGGAGCAGGGCCTGGGAGGTGACCTGGTGAGAAGTGGAGAACTGAAAGGAGAGGAATCACTGGAAGAGGCAGTGTCACTGTCACAGGCAGCTTGCCTGTGCAGAGAGAGGTGCTTGGGCGGCAGTCTCACCGAAGCAAAGCTGATGGCAATGGGGTTAGACGTGCTCCCTTTGCCACTGAAGGTGTTAGCTCTGGACCGAGACAGCTTCAGGCTGGGCAGAGCCGCACGGGGATCACCATGGAAGATGGACTCCTTCCTCCTGGTGTGGGGACTCTCCAGCAAAGTGCAGAAGCCATAGGAAGTGGGGGCTCTGGGAAAGTGGGGCAGGGAGAGCGCTGCTTGGGACTGTGGGTCTGCATTGGTGCTTTCTTCCTCTAGGGCAGAGATCTCCTCTTCAACACTTTCCACCTGAATGAGATGTGGGCAAGAGCTGGGGCTGTAATCAGAAGTAAGAGCTCCATCCACTGAACTGTGATCCTGGTGGAAGCCACTGCCCTTAATGGGGCCAGAGCTGGTCAGCCTGGGGGGAATGCAGAATTCAGGGATTCTGTCAGGAGTGATCACATTTGGAAAAGCAGCAGCCCTCAGCTGGGCTTTTTCAGGCAGATTTTGGCTTTGTGACAGTCCCAGGAAGGACGAGCTGGAGAGGTTCCCATTTTCATGTGATGCTCTGATCTTTTCCAACAACCACATCACTGTAGCTGGGCAGGAGGTCCTCAAAGGGGAAAAGTTTGAAGGAGAAATCCACCTGCAGAACACAGAGAAGAAAAGGTACATGAACATCCTTTTTGGAGATGCTACAGCCAAGCAAGGCACAAAGGGTGCCATTCAAAACAGCCCCTGCCCAGCGTACCACCTTTAGCAAAGTCAATTGGTGCAAGAACAGAACTAAACTACTAAAGAGAGAAAACAGCATCGAGTCACTACCAGAGGAAAACGTCCCTCTCGCACAATCCCTGCGGTGCTTTCCCCTCAGCAGAGGACGTACCTCGACAAGCCCAAGCCGTGTTGTTTGCAGCGCTCCGAGCAGGATGGCGCAGCCCGCCCCGCTCCTCCCTTTAGTAGCGGCGCCGGGCGCCTCCCAGCGCGGGCAGGGGCGGGGGCAGCACCCGCGCCTCCCACCCTCATGCGGGGGTGAGGAGGGAGAGCGGCCCTGCCGGGCACTGTGCCGGGCACCGGGCACGGGGAGGGGCTTGCCGCAGGGGCCCCTCACGGGAAAGCGCGTTTGGAGCGCGTCCTGTCGCCCCCGCAGAGCAGCGGATGTTCCCGGCCCTTGGCACTCGCCTGCGAGCGCGGGGGGACGGGGCTGCCCGGCCCCAGCCCCTTGTCCTTCCCCCGCGTCCAGGTTCTTTTTGATTAATATCGACTTACAGAGGCATCCCGAGATAACTAACAAGCTCAGGACAAAAGCAACATTGTCTTGGGGATTCTTTTCTTCTGGAGATCCTGGCAGCTTTCCAGCGTTAGAGCAGTAAGAAGTGAGGATTGCGGTTTTCGAGCTCATTTGTAAAGAACTTTGCTGCCTTTCTACATCTGAATGTGTGTCCACCCCCTCGTTACTCACAAAGAACACGAATCTGCGGAGCCCTGACACAGCGTTCTTATCGCCGATACTGAGCAGCGACAGAAACGGGAATGCAGGTGCAGCGAGGGGAAAGACAAGGCACGAAATGCTTTGGCAAGTCACCTGGAAAAGCAGCACATCAAAAACCCAGGCCCGCCTGATGCTTTACAGACCCTGCTCAAAGCCAGGTGGGATCCATGAACTTCCTCACCAACGCAGCAAAGCCTGAACGGACCTCGGCAAACTCTGTAATTGTTCTGCAAGCAGGAATCTTTAATGCAAAAACAGGAAGGCCTGCCAAACCTGTTGGCTAAATACTCATCTGAAGCCTATAACACAGGGATAGTAAACAAATAATATTCTTCCTCCCTCTTCGCTGAAATGCATGTTTACTGAGTGCTTGAAATAGATGAGATGTGCTCAGAGAAAATAAATCCCGTGGGCAACAGGGGCAGGGAACATTTTGAACCTGCTGTAAGATTTAGCTGGGTACACACGTGTTCTGAGTGTAAGCCCTGCTTCTCTCCCGGTTTTTTTTTTTAACACCAGTTAGGCTTCATTACCATAACAATCTCCTGGTGATTAAAATCTGAGAAAATTCCTTCTGCTGCTTTTTACAAAGGTTCAGGACACTCCAAACATCCCAGTGATGTTTCAGTTGTAGGAGCTCGTGTAGTTTACTTAGATGAACTTACTTGGTGTGGGTGTGCTTCAAATAATCTCCAATCCAATTTAGAGGCTTCTGGAGAGGGTTAGTGCTTTCTCCAGCCCATGAGACTTTACAGCACAGCAGTAAGGGAAATTCCTGGAGATGCTGGGATGCTCTCCTTTAGGAAGCAGTGTGTGCACCTTACAGCTGTTATCCATTCAGACCAGGCAATACCATACCATGTATCCTGCATTACACACCATGCAGTTTCCAAAGAGTGAGTGGGCTTGTTCTATGTGCTATGCACCTCTGCCTTTAATACCAAAAATAAAAATTAAACATTGAGAAAAATTAAGAAAATGGCACTTTTTAATGGAAACCTTATTGCCTTCAGTAACAGATCACAGAGGTTGTTCATATGCAGCAATCATGGCAAGCGGTCTCAGGTGCACTAAGTTCACAGCTGACATCAGGCAGTGACAAAATAAAATAGCCATGAAATAAGTTATAGGTACGTGATTTCTCCCGAGTCTCTGTACCATCAGGGAAAACATCTAGGGCTTCTCCAGAGATGATCAGTCTCATGATCACAGTTGCCTGTCTCCCTCCAGTGACTGCAGAGAGGAAGCAGGTGCCTTACACGGGGTGGTGGATCCTCCCCTTCCTATGCAAGCCTGCACTTTATAGACATCTAACAGATTGCTCATGTGCTGGGAGTTCAGCAACACTGAAGCACTTGGACCTGCCCCATGGAAATAGGCACTCAAATGTGTATATATAACTTCCTGCGCTCAGAACAGATTCTTTCCTTGATTAGCTTCAGAGCGTAATTAAAATATGCTGCCAACAGGACTTCCTGTTGTTGTAAAAAACGTGCCTACAATATTCCACTTCTAAAGCAGATATAATTCGTGGAAAGTCTTTATTAGAATCCCTGTACCAACAACAGGTGAAAGCCTGGGGTCTGGGCAGGGGCTGTAAAAAATGGAATTTCCTACCAGCACAGGAGGAGCTCGGGAGTTTTCCTTCGTGTGTTCTGCTATGATTTATCTCCTCTCCTGCCGTTCGGAATTCCCTGGGCACAGCGGCTCAGGAAAGGTCCGGCCGTGCCTCGCCCACCTCCGGGTCCCTCCCTGCGGGCCCCGCCCCGGCAGGAGCCCGGGGATAAAACATCAGAACACAAAACAGGGCTCAGGCTGGCTGCTCCAAGGGCCTGGAACTGCAAGGAGAGCCCTCTCCGTGCTTTACAGGGGATAGAGAGGTCGGAGAGCTGCAGCAGCTGACAGCCCTTGGAGAATGTGCACCAGGGGAGGGGGAAAATGACTGGAAAGATAAAAACCAAAAAAGGTCTGGCTCTGCTGTGTGTGTGCTGCTATGCAAATGCCAGTCCTGGATGAGATAGCACATAACATCCCACCATTCTTAAAGCAGCAGCAATGGCTGTGCATTATATTACATAAAATATTCAAAATTTCCACAAGCTTTTGTAAGAATAGAGAATCCAGTTCAGCTTTATTTTCCTAAAGAATGCAGCAGTAACTCAGCTGTAGCTTCTTGAAAGAAGACTTCAATCAACTGAGAGCCACTTAGATACAGTTTTTTGTTAGAGATTGGTATCATGAGCAAATACAGCACATTGTATAGTGTGTTAATTCCTTCCTGTCACTTTGACTAATGTCAAATATATCTATTAGCAGACTGCTCACCATTTCTGGCCTAAATCAATGCCCAAATCATTCTGCATTACTCTCACAGTAACGCAAAATAGTAACAGAGGATCAGCAAAACTCATCTGACAACTTGGCCTTTCTTCTTTTGCATCCGAGAGTAGCTTATATTTTATCTCATCAGCAAAGACAAGTTCTTGCATTGCTTTACAAGAAATGCTCCTTTAAATGAACAAATGAACGAACAGGTGCCCAAGTGCTGGCAGCAAGAGCTCAGGAACTGCCGGGCCCTTCAGGCACTTGGGGACTTTATGCCAAGTATCTCAAGTGCTTTGTGTCACAGCAGTGTGAACTGTAAAAATATAAAAGTATGAACTGAAAAATTCATTCTTGATAGCATATTACATAGTCCTGTTATGAGAAGCTGAGAATTGCCATGCAAAAATCCAAGAAAGTTGTGCTGCTCCTAATTCCACTCAGCCAGTTTCCCAAAAGGCAAGTTTCTACAGATGGATAACCAGGATAAAGATTCAACAGCAAAGTGGGGCAGATTTCCCAGGACCAGAGGCTTTATTAGACAGCCTGGGCAGTTTAGTAATGCTGGTGGAAAGGATCCTAAAGACAAAAGAATGTGGGATTATTTGATTTTTTTAAAAAAATACAATAGGCAGAAAGACTGCTTGCTTCTAGGAGAAAAGAGCAGGGATTTCTGAGTTGTGTTACACAGCTCCAACTTTGAAGGCACATGTGACTCCCAGCCAAGGCCTGGCAAACTGCTGCCTTTCAGTGCAGTGCCTCTCAGTGATTAATCTTCAACTTCAAAGGGAAAAAGGGCTCAGGTACTCACAAGGAGGCTGCTGGTACCCCTGTGCACCATTGTGAAGCACCAAAGTGTCTGATCCTCCTCCAGGAAATCAATTTAACCAGCAAAGCTAAAGGGTGTCCAGTCAGGAAGAAAACTTTGTGACTGGACACACGCTCACTGAGGCCAGCCATAAGGTCACAGCCAAGTCACACAGATGCAGACACAAAGAATGGAAATTGTATTTTCTCTGAAAGATTTACATTCCATAGAATACTCTGCAAGTGCCTTTAATTCAGATTCTTGAAGCCATGGCAGTGGCAGAGGTGCACAGTTTGGGCACAATCAAACCTTGCAGCAAGACAGAAGGAACACATATGCAAGGGACTGCTCTATAAACTGCATTGTTAGTGGATGTTTTATTTCAATCTTATAGGGCTAAACATGATGAAAACCTAAAAACTCCCATGACATTTCCCACAGTAACAGCTCTGTGTTACAGACTGTGTTTCTTTCAAGAATTCTGCAATCTGGTGAAGGCAGAACTGCCCCCAGACTGTCTTGTTCAAGTCACTCTGCTGTTGTTGAAGAGTAACTTATTCCTGTGTCAAACAGCTCAATTCCAGGGCAGGCCTCTCCCACTAGGCCAGGTAAGTGCCTTTTAGGATTCTCAGGAAAAAAAGTCTACCAAACTGATTAGGTCATGTCACAGAGTTGTCCTGTGTTAGAGCAGCAATGAGCTCCACTGCTGCCATGGCTTTGTAGAGTTACTGTGCTGTGCTTATAGCAGGATACATCCCCAATAATGAAATGTGATAATTATCATTAGTATTTTCCTCAGAGTAAAAACTGAAATTAAATCAGGCAGTACAACTTTATCATTTCTAGACCAGACTATTTCAGTTAAAAGGGACCTACAACAATCATCTAAGTCCAACTGCCAGACCAATCCAGGGTTCCTCAAAAGTTAAAAGTGTGTTCTTAAGGGCCTAGTCCCAATGCCTCTTAACTCATTGACAGGCTTGGG